AGTTGATTGTTGGTATGGTGGTATTTGTTATATGGTGGTGTTGTATGTCATGTGTAACATTGAAAGGAGTAAGTGTGGGGTGTATTATGCCGGAAGTGGTAAGAAAATTATGAGGCTATTGTGGAGGTTGTTATGAATGAATTAAGGGGAAATATTTGGTGTCATCGGGTGGTGAAGTCTGAGTAACCATCTTATTGGCACTAGCTAGGGCATATGTTGATGGTTTGTTTGATTATTTGCAGGTCACATGGCTCCCAAAAGGCAAAGGCGCTCTGGAGGCACATCCCAACGACCTGCTTATGATGAGTCCAGATTCCAATCGGAACTGGCGGAGGACGACTTCAACGCCAAGGCTACAAAGACCTTTATCCATGAGATCCCGATTGATCGGGTAGCCCTCCAAGCCGAAAAGGTGGAGATGTATGAAGAAATACGGAGGCGGGAAATGGAATTCCTATTTAACGACCCTGCACCAGTTAACAAGATGCTGGTTCGTGAATTTTACGCCAACTGCCCATTGAACTTGGGTAGGGAGGTGATTGTTCGGGATATGGTGGTCATTGCTCAAATTCAAACAATTCACCGGGTGTTGCGGCTGCCTCCGTTCACCAATGATGTCGACTATTACCATGACAGACCGGGGGTGACATGGGAGGTCATGACGGATGTACTTTGCACAGGGGGGCAGCCCATTTGGATACGTGACCAAATAACCCTCAACTCTAACTCTTTCACTCACTTGGCCAAGTGTTGGTTGACTGTTATCTGTAGCAGGTTCCTGCCATCCAGCAATACCACGGACGTGAACTTCAATAGGGCACCGTTGACTTGGTGCTTTGTGACAGGGAAGGATTTTGATGCGGCCCGGGTAATTGGAGATGAAATGGTCTTACGGGGACCGCTGCTGACAAAGGGATTCTATTTCCCTTCCTTGGTAACCAGCTTGATGAGAAACACCCCCACCAATCCTGCAGATGGAGATTTGCCTCCCAGAGCAGCTTTCAAAGCTTCTAGCATCAGAGTGGGCAGGGGTACACGCACCACAATTGAGATTGATGATGAGGAGGATGATCCGGTTCCTTTTGCACCGTCCAGGAGGTCTGTTGACGGTGCCGGGCCCTCTCGGCGCCCCCATTCTGGAGCAGACCTATCACGCTCACAGTCCTCCCGGCCTATGCTGCACTCCTTGGAGGAAGAGGTCGCGGATCTCCGCACCTCGGTGGATGGTCTACACACGCGGATGGACGCCATGTCACAGAGGCAGGCTAGATCTGAGAGCCGATTTATGGCTTGGTTACGTGCATTGGGGAGGGCTTGCCATGTAGACCTCAGCACCGTCTCCGACTCGGATTGAGTCTCAGGGAAGTCTTCTAACCCTTCTGCTCTTTACTTTATTGATATGACATGGGGACATGCCATGATTTTAAGTGTGGGGTGGGAGACTTGCTCTAACTGTGTATTGTAATGTATATAGATGTATGTTGTTGTGCTGTAGCATTAGAGTGATGTGTTGTATATATGTGAGTGTGTTATATTACGAGTAGCTGACTTGGCCCAACGACGGACACTTGTTGACGGGTCTCTTGAGGGTCAAGGTCAGATATAAAAAAAAAATTAAAAAGAAAAAAAAAACAAAACTTGTAGAGGACTCTTCCTGATGACGGACTAGGTGGACAATACTCTTGAGGGAAGTAGTCCATGTAGAATTTTTTATTTTATTTTCTTCTTTTAGGTAGTGTAGTACCTCCCCCTTGGTTTTTCTTTTGACCACGGTTCTTTTCCAAGGGTTTTTCTTGAACCGGGTTAGGTAGATTTTTTTCTTTTGTAGTTTCAGGATTAGATGGGTGAAGGTCAGAATGTAACCCCAAATGTGCACACTTGCAAAGAAAAGAACTTGAGAGTGGACGTCTAAGCTTGTTTGTGGACTCATAATATATGCCTTAATTTTGCACATCTTGTCTTGCTTGAACACTCGTATAATGGTGTTGATGAACTGATTCGGAATGAGTTACATGCTAAGTGTGTGTGAGTTGGTACTTGCATCCTATGCTTGCATATGATACCTAGAACTTGCCCTGTGTGTTTGCAAAGCGAAATAGAAGTCGTTTGGTTTTAGAGATGATTGAGGCATTTCTTTGTGCAACCCTCTATACTTGAGAATCCACCTGTGCATATTACCATAGTTACCCCCTTTGAGGCTGAAGCATGTTCTTTGATAACCCTGTAATGATCTAAATCGCTGTGTTTGAATAAGCTAATTGTTTGAACCTTTACCTCCTAGAAGCACTTGAATCACTAAAGAATATACAAAAGTTAAAGTGTGGGGTGGGAGAGAGTTAGTGAAAAAACAAGGGAAATCAAGAATGAAGGTTCTGGTTGGTGAACTGGCAGTGTACAATAAATCTGGAAAAAAAAAAAAAGAAGAAGCCAGTTGTACCTAAAGAAAAGTGGGGGTCACAAGTGAAACAAAATATGGAATAATGATCGGGTTGAACATGAAGGTGAAACAAAAGGAAGTGTGTATTAAAAGTGCTTAGGGAGGTTAGTCACTATATCCAAATATATCCTACCCGTCCCTTAGCCTACATTACAACCTATAAAGACCTCTTGATCTTCGACTGAATGGCTCGATTAGTGGAGTATTACACTAGGGGCAAGCTTATGGTGTGTCTGTGTGGCATGTGAATGCTCTTTGCTGAGAGTGAGTGAATTCTTTCTATATATGGTTCCTTGTTGTTGAATTTTATGTGTGTGGAACTTCTCTCAAATTTTGTTTATGTGAGGGCATGTCAGGAAGAAAAAGTGAGTCTTCACATCTGTTAGAGAAATTAGAGTGAGCACAAGTGTGTCTTGGCATGAGAGTCTGCATTTGAGATACGATTGTGCACCGCTTAGGTCGATCTTTGACAATAGCAGGTGTGACATAAATTGGGGCAATGCATTGAGCAGTTAGGCGTAGAAGTGTGGTTTAGTTTGCTCGAGGACGAGCAAAGGTTTAAGTGTGGGGTGTTGATAATAGGTGAATTTGACTATAATCACACCTTAAATAATCACCTTCTTGTGTAGTTTTAATGCTAAAAGTAATAACAAAATGCTCTTATTAGTGCTTTTCATGATTTGCAGGTGATATATGTATAAGAAAGGCTAAGGAGCAGTTTTGGAGTCAAAATTGATGAAAAAGAGGCCAACTGTGAAATTTCCCAAGTGAACCATGCAAAACAGGCCGAAGATTCAGAGCACTGGGTCCACCGCGGTTCCACCGCGACCGCGGCAGAACCGCGGTGGAGAGCAGCTGCAGAACATCAGGGATTCCGCGAGGGTGTTTGGCCGCGGATCTTCCGCGACCGCGGTAGAACCGCGGCAGGCGCGAAAACTTCAGGGGTCAAAGTGTCAAATACGGGATTTTTAGACCTAAACCCTATTTAAAACATTAGACTTCGCCCAAGAGAGGCATGTATGGATTTTTAAGGTTTCTTAGCAAGGAAAACCATTGTGAGAGAATACTCTAAACATCTTTCTTCTTTTCTTTTGATTTTTATGATGAATTCAGTCTTAGTTTATTTTCCCATAACCATGAGTAGCTAAATTCCTTGTCTAAGGTTTTGATGGAACCTATTGGGTGATGAACTTCTTGTTTATGTGAATTCAAATTGCTAGTTTAATCTCTATTTGTTCAACTTCGTGTTCGTTGTAGTTAATTGACAGGATCCTCAATTAGCTGTGCCTATTTAGTGTGCATAACTTGGAAAAGAGTGCATATTTAGGGTATTGTTGAACAACACCACTCCTAGATTATTAGAGGAATCTATAATTGCGGGTTTAAAGGCGGGATTAGGGATAACGAAGCCTTGGGTGTAATCTAAAGTGAATCGTGCTAAATAAAGTAAGCTAGTGTATCTCGGGAGAGTGCAATAGTAAATTACTATGATTACTCGGGAGAGATTTGCGGTAAGATTAGCGTTCATGATTGATAGAGAGGTGTTGGTAAATTTGTATGAGCATAAACAGAAGGGATTCCATCAATAGGGGAAATCATTGCCTTAGCTTTTCCTCATAATTGTTTACAACCTCATTAGTTTAGTTTACAGCTATTTAGTTACTTGCAAGCTAGTCGTTAAAGAACACTCAACTGAGATTTGAATATTTGGGCAGCTGGTTCTGAAGAATTAGTGGGTCTGAAGATAGTGGTTGATAGGTTAACTCTCTGTGGATTCGACCCTGGGCGTAATACTCGGGTTATGTTTGCAACGTCCGCAGAGTCCTTTTAAGGCATAGTTGGGCGTGATCAAGTCCCCTTCTTCCCCATTTTGGATTTTCTGTCTCTTTCTATTTTGAGAACATATGTATTTCTTTCAAACCTATATTTGTAGAATTTCTTAGACGTTCGTGAATTGTGACACCAGATCAATGGGGTAGTCATGTACTAGAGTTGTTAAACTGTTATAACACTTCCGCACTTTATCTCTGTTTGGCTTTAGCTATTATTTATTTCTGTTCTTGTTCATAATTAATGTGGTAAAACTGATTGTCGGCTTGCCTAGCTTTCAAGAGTAGGCGCCATCACGATCCCGAGGGTGGAAAATTCGGATCGTAACATCATCATAGAGATGTTTTGCTGTAATTAAATTTTTGAAGTGTTTTGTTTATATTAGCAAATCTTTTAATCACGCTGACATATTTTGTTGGTTATTCAATAAATTTTAAAATATAATAAATTGACAATAATAATTTTTTATTGTTTGCAAAACGTTTGTTATTTTTGGTGAAACACATTTTCTTTACAACTAATTATGTATATTTAGGGGTGGATCATGTCGGTTTATGTGATCTAATTAAACATTTATTTAAACATAATTATAATCATAAATGTGTTTCAAGTAGTTATAATAACTCATAAACTTTAAATCTTGATTTTATATTTTAAAAAAATCTTTTAGTACCTAGTTTTTGGCGTAAAAATTTGGTTTCTTTTCAACTTTCCGCCAAAAGGTAAACGCGGCAAAACGAAAAATTTCCTCTTTTATTTTTCACTTTGGCTCTAGGTTTTCTCCGTTCAATTACCCAATTACAATTGAAACCTTTGTTTGGTATCTCTCTTCGTTAAGCATGTTAAATCTAGATTACTTCTGGAGGTTGATTTATCTCCTATTTTGTTAATGTATTCACATTGAAGAATAATTTAGGAATTCAACCAATCACCTCGGATTCTTTATAATCTTATTTATTTAGGGGCTTTTGTTCTTCTTTTTGTCTTTTTGAGCAGATTTTAATCATCCAAAGTCCATCGAAGATATGTACAAAGCAGTTACGCTACTTTCTACTCCAAGGTTTGTGTTAGGTTTTCTCTTCTTGCTCTGAATCGTCTTTACATTAGTAAGTTAGTAATTTTGTGATAACTATTTTGCTCTTGAGAAAATATGCAATAAGGCAAACATGACTCGAGTGTTTATGCTAATTTTAAGAATTTTTCTGTTATGCCCTTATGTGAATAGGACAAGTGATTATGCTTTATTAATTTCCAGAATTTCCCTATCGTATTGATATGGGTTGTGGGTAAGTTCAAGAAATCTTTATTCTTTCTTTAGCTTTTCCTGATTTTCTTTTTGGTATTTCCTAGTTAAGCATATAATTTCCCGAAATGTTAAAATGGATAGTTGAATATATTTGGAGTAAAACCTTTCGGTTTTTCATGATAAAGTTTACTTTCAACATTTGCTAACTTTATTAATGTATTTTGGTAGTTTTTGGTGGAACTTGCAATGTGTATTTAGATTGAAAAATATGAGAAAAAGAAAATATCATGTGTAAACCTATTATAATAGCAGAACATATTCATAGTTTTGTTTCAAACTTTGCCAATTACTAGGTAATTTTCAGAAATATTAGAAAAGTTAGAATTATAATAGTTATACCAGCGGTAACTTTTCTAGTAAACATGAAATCGTGTATCCTAAAAGCCAGAGTTGGATTGCGATTGGTCTTCCTTTGAAAGCTCTCTCTATAAGCTTAGTAGTCTAGCTATAGATTATAATTGAAAGTTAACACCAACCATCAATTCATACCAGGATTATCTTTAGAAGGAAAAGATAATATTTTGGGAAAATCTCATCCTTCAGATCCTTTGGCTCTGATGAAAGGAGGTTTAGCAGAAGTTGTTATCACACTTTTGCTCTACCAACTCACTACCACCATTGGATTATTTCTTAATCGCCGAGTGCTTTCAGATGAATCTTTTCGGATTGTATCTTTGTTTTCTTGAAAAATGCTATTTATATTCTTCCATTTTTCTGCTTTTAATTGCCTAATGCATAAAATAGGGTATGGTGCAAAAGATTGATCTGGAAGTGGCTAATTTTTATTAATGTTTAAGTCCTCTTTTCCGCTGAAGTTGTTGTAATTTGCATCATTAGTTACAGTAATTGAAATAGTTGCTTTCAATTTAGTCTCTTAGGAAGTGAAGGTGAACAAAATATAATAAGTCATGATCTCTGAATTTCTACTCTAGTTATGCGATTTAAATGCAGTAATGAGAAGTGGAATTCTTCACTTTTGACCGACTCTTTGTTCTTTCTTCTTTTTCTTTACATGTTCCGAATTATGTCTTTGTTAAATAAACATTTATAGTTTACGTTTTAGGTAAAAGTTACCTTACTAGGGATATAATTAATATTTCATGCCTTTTACTTCACTCCCTTGATAAATATCTACTGGGTACACTTTGTTGGAATAGATACTCTCTACCTAATTATTTCACGGAGAGATTTCTTATTCTGCAAGAATATCTGTGAATAGTTTATCCTCGACGTTCACCATAGCTGCTGCATCAAAAGGCTTAGTGAATGAGATCAGTATGCTAAAGTATTAATAAGTCAATTTTAATTTATAAGACCCTTGTTCAGTCTCAAAAAAGTTTATAAGACCATTGTATGCAAATTGCTTTTGTGCTTTGTAATAGGGAAGTACTTCTAAACTGTAGATACCAATAATTTTCAAGCAACTGTAGTTACATTTGCAATGAAGAAAAATTAAAATCAGCGTGCGTAAGATGCTTGGAAGAAGGGACAAGTAAGAAAACCATTATTTGCAAGTGAAATGTGTAGTTATTATAATCAGCTTGACAGCTTCCTACTGTTCTTGATTTTCATATTCTAATCATTGTATTTTTCTGTTATTATCAGCTCCAATAAATGTGTTTTCTTATTCAACACTTTGGGGGTCAACTGCCACCTAGTTTTCCCAACTCTCGAGTCAATCAGGTAGATTGTTTACAACTTACTATTCTATAGATCATCATATTTAATTTGATATAATATCCATGGTTGAATGATTGGTTTGATTTTATAAATATATAGTCGCCAAATAATTGCTAAATATACGTAGTTGCTACTATAAGTAGAAGAGGAAGTATGAAAATAGGACTGTTAAATATTTTTTAAATGCTTTTAAAATTGAGAATTGTTGTAAGAGATTAACAGAGTAATGCAATTTTTCTTTCTCATAATTTGGAAAGCTAGATGTGTTCATGTCTTCTTGACCTTTGGAGTTACGGAAATAATTTAGCTATTTTGACTTTGAAAGAAAAAGGAAAAAACAATGAAACCCAACTAAAACTACACTTATTGCATCTTAAGTGACAGGTTCTTTGAGGTTTGCTTATTTGATGTTTGGATACAAAGAATTGATTAGGTAAATTACTGGAACTATAATGACATGGATCCTTTGGACAGTGAATGAGAATTATAATGTTAGATATTAACATTGCAGACAATATCATCCATTAACGAGCATAACATTTCAATGGTGAATGTGTAATTGAGTCAGCAAAGAAGACTTGAATTTTCACAAACTATATGCGTACTAGCTTCTTGATAAAAAGGGTCTTGTGGCTGCTTAATCTGTGTTACTGCCTAATCACAGGTGTTTATTATACAAGTGGGTTCCTTGTCTCTATGATGTTTTAAAGGATGCTTGGATTTTATTTTCTAAACTTCTATCTTTTTTTTTCTTGTCAGTGAAATGAAATGAGGTTCAGGTTTTATTCTAATGTGAGAAAGCACACATAGGTTACCTTACATTTTGATAGTTAATAGCTACTTATATATGAACATAGTTTATTCTGCCACATAGATTAGTTTGTGGATGTAAACTTTGTGATGATATACTAGGAATTGGTAAACTTTCACTTATGAGAAAGCTATAATGATTAAGTTCAATTGTAATTTAGAAGTTACTAATGTATATGCTCCATATGTTTTTGATATATATATATGTTAAATAGTATTGTGAATTGATTTTTCTTATAAATAGGTGCATATTCAACTTGAAACAAGGAAGGTTGTGGAAAAGCTAGAATAAAGGTATTGAGAAATAAAGAAGTCTTTGGGAGAAAAGATGATACCAGAGATCCTAGTTGGTAAATGGAGGTCAGTCAAGGCGATTCCATCAGCAAAGCTATCCAATGAGTTGGGAATGACTCTTCAAAAATTTCTGTCACTTCCAAACAAATGGAAAGAACTCACAAGAGAGGAGAAAGATGCAATATTGGTTAAATTACATTGTACATTTTTAGACAATCGCATTTTCCTAGAATTGCCTTATCAATAGTATAATATATTCTTTGACGACATATTATCTTTGTATTTTTTGACTATTGTAACTGTCACTAATCATGATGATTTATAGTAACATTTTTGTTGTCAGTAGTGTTAACATTTTTTAGTGACGAATCGATAATTTTAACTACACATTGTAAACCTTATTTATAAAAGCAGAGTTGTCACTAATTTATACATTTAGAGACAAAATAAATTTTTGTATATAAAAGGCATTCTTTAGTGATGGAATTTCAATTGTTCAACTACGAAATACATACAATTATAGAGACAATTTATGTCAGTCACTAATTAAACTAAATAGTTAGTGACAAAGTAGTTTCGTCGGCATTAATGACCTTTTCAGTGATGAAAATGCACTATCAACTACAAATTTTTTATACTTTTTCGGACGAACTTGTTCGTCATAAATACTATCACTTTAGGGACGAAAAATGAATTCGTAGTTATTATAACTCTTTTTAGCGACGGAACACAAAGTTGTCTTTGTATACTATTAGTGACGGTGTTTTAAGGACGAAAAATTGATAAAATATTTTTTGTCAATGAAAGCCTTTTGTGACGAAATATGAATTTTAGGTGACAAAATAATTCATCACTAATAATCAAATTTGTTGTAGTGTACAAAGTGGTGGTCAGACCAACGATGTTGTATGGGACTGAGTGTTGGCCAGTCAAGATTACTCATGTCCAAAAGATGAAGGCAGCAGATATAAGGATGTTGAGATGGATGTGCAGGCACACCAGGTTAGATAGATCAGAAATGAGGTTATTCGCGATAAAGTGGGGGTGGACTCTATTGAGGACAAGATGCGGGAAGCGCGACTTAGGTGGTTTGGTCATGTGAGGAGGAGGAGCAAAGATGCCCCGGTGAGAATGTGTGAGAGGTTGACATCGGAGGGCCTACGGAGAGGTAGAGGTAGGCCAAAGAAGAGGTAGAGAGAGGTGATTGGGCAATACATGGCGCAGCTTCAGCTGACTGAGGTCATGACCTTGATAGGAAGGTATGGAGGTCGAGAATTAGGGTAGTAGAGTAGGTTGTGTAGAGCGTTCATAACATTAGTATTGGCACGCAGTCTCTTTTTCTGTTGGTAGTAGGTTTTTATGACTAACCATTGTTTTCTTTCATTATTGATCAGTTTACTGTCTTGTTGTGTTATTCTGCTTTTATATGGCTTTTTGATACTGTCCCTTCATGCTTATATTTTCATTACTCCCTCCGGTCCACAATAAGTGACCAATTTGCTTTTTTATTTTGGTCCAATAAGTGTCCATTTATATAATCTAGAAAATATTCAATTCATTTTTTCAAAATTACCCTTATGTACGTATCTCTAAAAAGTCATTTACTCCTCACATTTGAGAAGAGAAGTAAGTGCTACTATAACTATGGTGCAACATTTAATGAAGGGTAGTTTAGTCACACCGTTTTCGTCTAAAATGTAGTATTTCCTTAATGGATGTGCCCAAATTAATTTGGTCACTTATTATGAACCGGAGGGAGTAATTGTGGTACTTATACTATCCTGAACCGATGGTCTATTGAAAATAGCTTCTATATCCTCACAAGGTAGGGGCAAGGTCTGTGTACACACTATCCTTCCCAGACCCCACGGTGTGGGATAATACTGGGTATGTTGTTGTTGTTGTTGTAAGAGTATTTTTTTTTTCTATTGAAGCTAACATCAAGTATTACTACAAAAGATTTAAAAAAATACGGTAAGTAGTTAAAAAATTATTAGTTCTAAATAGTTTAAGAAAACATAATTTTCTTAACATAAGCGGGCTCCAATTACAAGTACAGTCAAGTCCAAAAGACACATCGCAATAAAAAGGATCTATAAAGGCAAATTTATGGGATTATTATCTTTCTTTACCTGAAGGGTTTTGAATAGGATTTAAGTCATATATTGTGGTAGTGCAAAGTTTTTTTTTTTTTTTTTTCCATTATAAGTGAACTTCACATATTAATAGATTATAAATTGATGTTCAAGTCACATATATTGATAGTGTAATGGTTTCTTCTTTGCATTATCGATCAGTGAATTTCATATTAGTTTGCATTTTTATTACCTAATAAATGGTATAATTGAGTAAATATATACATAGTACAACAAACTTCAAACTGAAATGTTGATCAACAAAAATATTGTCAAAATATTAATCAACTTTTATACCCTTCACAAAATAAAGTAGTATTTCCTTTAAAATTATCGTATGTTGGAAAAAATTATAATTTTCAAATTAGCAAATATTTTGAAGATCATATCCAATTTTAAATATGATTTTATTAGATCATCGGACAATGAGCAAAAAATATGACCAAACTAGAGCTTTTCAAATTAGATAAAATTGTAAATTCTCATATATTAAAGCGGTAGAATTTTCCTAAATCAAACCAAAAATATATGTTCACATAATATTAGTTGTATTTCCTTAACTTATTTCGTAAATAATTGGCTTGGTATTAGGTTTAGACTTTGAAGTGATTTCGTTTGTACTTTAACTACACTAACTTCATCCATTCTCATGTACTTTCACACGAGTAAATATATATTTCTATTTAAACATGGCATCTCACTTTGAATTACTAATTAACCAAAGAATTCTGTTCTCCATAACCTACTAATACCATATGAATTTCAAATTAAAAATTAGACAAAACTTAAAGTTGTTAGATGTCCTGAACATCAAGTGCTATGATCAATAAAATAACATCTTTGTGTTTCTCAAGGTGAAAAAAATTCTCAAGGTGAATTTACCATTCGAGATAAACCGTTGAACATTGGTTAGTTTTACTGACAAAATAATACAGTAATCAAAATATTGTGCCAAAACTCAAACTTAGAAAAAGTACAAAAAAGAGCGATGATTAATTTTTTAGAAAAATATGAAAAGTAACATGCGTAAATAATCCAAAAACTTCTTTTCCTTCATGTAGAAAGAAGTCACAACGTGAAGCAAGTATTATAACAAACTTTAGATAAAAACGACTACCTTCCAGGATCCTTCAGCAAGTTCTTATAGTTCAATTTACCAAGACTTCTCATATGTTTCTAGAACTTACCATTTTATCACATAAGTAACCACAACAAATAGTGTTAGTTCGCTAAATTAAAGGGTGAGAAGAATCTATTCATGCTTCTTTCTAACAAATGATTGATTGATTTTTCCAAGTAAATGAAAAGAATTGCAAGAATTACATTTTTTTTTGGATGAATTATTTCAGCAAACATAAATGATCTTCCTAACAAATAATTTACTGATTTCCAGAAGAAGAAAAAAAAAGATAACAATTACAAGAATTAGTAAATGTCTGTTTGTGATGATTCACGGGCTATAACGTGCGAGACACGTTTATAGAGACTAATGTTCTAAGAAGACTGAATGATGCACTTGGTTGAAGGTTGAGTTATTTACCAAGAGGAATAAGGGATCAATTCTCAATTAATAATTTTTTTTCTCCTTTCTTTTAGTAGTGCGGTTAATAATTTTTTTTCTCCTTTTTTTTAACAGTACACTCATATATTAAAAATTCTAGATCCGCCTCATCAACTAGGTGTTTCTTTTTTAAAAAATGGTGCGAACGAAGAATTTATGACTCGTTGCTTATGCCCTTATGACGAAATGCTAAAGAGCATTTCTTTTTATCCAAAAAGAATGGATATCTGTTTCCAACAAAAAACTAATTGGCAAATAATTTGCGGCTTTCGCATGAATGTTTTTTCTTTCCTAGCTCGTTGGTATCACGTAGGATGTGAGTTTGACCAAACTTATTAGCTTCCGTTTAAGTCATATATTTATTTTAAAAATTTATTAAATATATATAAATTATTAATTTAAAAACTAGCAATTTAAAAAAATTATAATCTCACTTTAAATTTTGACTCCGACTCTAATCATGAGCTTGCAAAAGAAAGTTGGTATCTATTAACCGCCTGCGGATAGTCAAGTGTGTGCTCTTCAATCCTAGTATTGCATATACATTTTTATTATCTAATCATGATGACTTTAAGTAACATGCATCCTCACCAGATGCAAGTAATTAGCATTTTCGGAAGCATGACATATAGGGCACTAAACAAGAAGAATCTTCGTAAGCATTTTTTTATTGAATAGCCTTAGTGAATAGCAAGTTAATTTAAACCGCAGAATCTCCCAATGCTACATCTGTACACTTTGTCCAAACCAATCAAATTTGGACACAAGGCAGATATAATGAGCAGTTTTCCCTTAGTTCGTTTAAACATAATGATGTCCATTTTGTATTAGGGTAATCACTGAGACCGACTGATAAATAAAGCTAAGGTCGTAATCGTGCTTGAAATCGGTGAGCTTTGATTCTTATCTGTCCCATGCGCTTATAATGCGAAATTGCAATTCACAGTTTGGCAGTTTGGCCCAGTTGGCACTTTCTTGTGCCCTTTCGTTTTCCTCTTTTCCACTATCATTCCATGCTTTGGTTTCACACGCACACATCGCTTTAAATTAAGATCCAACTTTTACGCAGCTGCTTTGCTTTGTTCATACACGAATTCAGAAAAAACAAATTGATGTGTTCTATTTCTAATGTTAATTTAAAACATTAAATTATTGTTGTGTACGGGTAAAAGCGGGGTAATGTCTATCCCGATTTCCCGATAAGAAAACGGAGGGGAGCACGAATGCACGAGATTGCAATCGATATTGGAGACCCTTCGTATCAAGATCCGAGAAGAGTGAACGATGTGCCCGCCACCACGTACGATAAAGCGATACGCCCCGGGCCAAAAATAAGTTCTAAGACCTTGGTAGACCTGGTGAACGGTTATGCATGACGGATAGAGGGATGCGATACTCACCCTCAACTGGATATCACGGGGCGAATCTCGCTCGATGTCGATTATGGATCAGTAATTACCAGAAAAGGAAGATTTTTACCTTTTTAGACTTATACTAAGGTTGAAACTCTCCTACTATATAAAGGGGAAGTTTTTCTTTTGTATCACACATTGTAACATGCGAATCAAGACAATACAAGTTTGTTTTCTGTCTTTTAGCTATTGTTAAAATTTTGCTCATTTGTTCTGTTATTCATTCACGACCGGGCT